CTGTTTTGAAACTTATATGGTAGTTACATAGCACCTAGACCTCAGTTATCGTGAAAAAAGCCAGGAAATTTCAGTTTTGACAATATGGGACCTTTAACTTACCTTCACCACCCTCTTCATCCTCCTTCGGTTGTTGAGCTTCCTCCTCCTCCATCATCATCATCATCATCTTAAGAAAGATACATGTTCATGATATTCTTCATAACAGTAAGAGCTCAGGTACATGTCTGATAATTCCTGACAGCAGAACGTGATCACTTACATTCTTTTTGTCCTCAGAGCCTTTCTTCCTCTCTTTATTGGCCATGATCACACCCACTCTCAGTGTTTCAAACACCGGATCAGTGCGGTTCTGCTGACCTATGCACATGCAGTTTCAATTCTTCTTCAAATTTATTCTACAAAAATCTTCAAACATTGTAAAATGTAGACGTTATTTTATCAGAACTAGGCTGACCATACACAACAGCCATGAACAAGACCTCACAAGGAACATAGGAAACACAAGGGCTATATACACACACACGGGGTAAAAAGACTAACAAGAAACAGATGCACACAATCAAGAACTAACAAAGGGAAATCTGAATAGAAACCAGAACTGCACGTGAAAAGATGACATAAAGCATAAATATTACTTGATTGGATTATTTTGTCACACTTTAGTTTAAGGCCTAGTTCTCACTATTAACTACGACTTTGCCTTAATACAGTCCTAATTTACTTCTTATTAATACTTAGTAAGGTAGTAAGTTAAGTTTAGGTCTGGGGTTGTATTAAGGGATCTAAAATATGGTCATGCAGAATAAAGCATTAATATGTGCTTTAGAAGTACTAATGAACAGCCAATATGCTAGTAATATGCATTATAGTTAATAGTGAGAATTGGTCCTTAGTGCTACCGATAATTTTTTTCCTACTTTTTAAAACTCTGCTTCAACACTGCAGTCTTTTTTTGTTTTGTCAAAAATGATCTTTCATAAATACATCATACTCACCAGGGTTATTGATCTCTTGATCGTAGAGAGGAGAGCTGTATGCCCGTCTAAATCCAGGAGGCTGACAAGGAAGATATTAATGAAAACAATGAAACTGACAGTGTGACTGTACTGTCATCATATCATATATTATAACAGAATGCATATAGAATGTTGTCTCACTATTTTGCCAAAGCATCTCTGGAACTGCACATATGATTGGCACGAGTGGTGAATGTTGGTCTTGCAGTTTTTGCAGCGCAAGGCAAATTTATTATTGACTGAAAGTAGAAAAAAATCAGTTATTATACCAATTTACTTTTTTGTAATGGGTATGACTATTGATTTCTCTATATTACATTCTTATGAGCATTATAATTATTTTCAACTATGTGAATATCTCAGTGAATCCTTTGGTAAAGCTGTTGCAATTCGACACAGGCTTTGAAAAAGATCATTGAATCTGATTAGACCGTTAGCATCTCGCTCAAAAATGACCAGAGTTTCGATATTCGAACTGTTTTGTTCAGCTAAAAATAGCTGGATGGAGTGTACGCAGATGAGACCGGAAGCCAGACCCATAGAATTTACAAATGGCCACGCCCATTTTTACGACAAGAAAAAGGTGGATACTGAGGGTTTGCTGACTACAGTGTCAGCAGAATATTCAGTACATAAAATCTAAACACTCCCCAACAACAAGAAGCAGTTTTATGTGTAGTTGTGTCTTCCCTATAGTGACTATTTTTATTGAAATGTGAACTTACGAACAATCATTCGTGCACAGACGTCACAAAACTTGGGTTTCTTGCAGTAGTGGTCCTTAAATTTGTGTGGTCTGTCATTGACCTGAACTACAGGCTCAGGGGTCGGAGGAGGAGGGGCCTCTTCTTCCTCCATCTCTTCATCATACACGAAATAAACCTGAGGAGGACAGAAAGTGAGCTGTGTGTACATGATACCGACACAAGGAGAGAGACTGACATACGCACAGTGTTGTCGTCCTCCTTTACGACATTGTCTGGAGCTGGAGGGTTATCATGAATATCCAGCGAATCTTTGTCCTCGAGTCTGAAACACAATCAGCAGTTAAATAGTTGTCCACTTACATAATGTTCCTGAAAGACAATATAATCTGAGGAGACACTCACTGGTCATATTGAGCCATAAATACAGCCTCTTCAGCCTGCAGTCAGTCAGGAGAATTCAGCACCTACACAACCATGACACGTAAACTGATTTGATGCTATTAAAATCATTTCACGATGGATCTCCAGCCCTGCTCCTGGAGAAGTGTTTAAGATTCTTGAATTAAAGTTTTGCTAATTAACTAACTAAATAAAGTTTATTCAAGTATAAGTCATCAATATATGCTTCAGAAAAGTAGTCTATCAAATACTTTTTTACACATATGCTGGAGTACTAACAGAAACCAATATATGTTTTACATACTATCTTATAAACTTACATATTCAAGTTCATAGTAACAAGTCAGCTTTGTCGTAGAATAAATAGCTTTGGCTTTTATCACTTGCTTCATTCATTAATGAATCAGCTGATTTGAATGAATTGGTTGAATTAATGATTCTAGTATCATTTCACATTTCTATATTCAAAATGTTATATTTAAAACATTAATTATACATTATTGATACAATTGTAATTGCACTGTAAATACATATAAATGTGTCTTCAGATGCAGCTTCTGTGAGCCCAGTCTCATGAAAGTGCGTATAAATAGTACGCCAAATAAAAACGAAAACTTGTGGTATTGATACGCAAAAATGGACTTTGGCGTGTATATGCTACGCACGTGTTTGGCGTGCATTTAATACGCAGTTTTCGCATGCATATGATATGAAATTTGTTGGTGTGCATATGATACGCAGTTTTCGCGTACATATGATACGCATCTACCCCACAACCCTAATCCTACCTATCGCATAGCATATACACGCCGAAGTCTATTTTTGCGTATCAATACTACGAGTTTTCGTTTTTATTTACCTCTTTTTTTATGCTGCCATAGCAGATTTAAATTTTAAATTTTAGTGTGATTTGCATGAAACTTTATAATTTTAAGTTCCTCTTAAAATTTCAACACATTTTGCCCCATCTGTTTTTTATTTTTTTATGTTTATACCATGAATGTTGTCACCCCACATTTTTAGTGCCTGATGGAATATTTTGTTATTTTTTACTTGTTGCACATTTAAATTATCAGTAACTTTGATATTTTAGACAGTAAAGTGTATCAGGGAAAACAGTGTATATTTACAAAGTGGTTTAACTTTACTGCCTAACAAGTGACTGAAGACAAATATAGAGTCATTGAAAATCCTGCTGTGCAGATTTGTCAATGTGTATCTGATGTTAGTAAAGTCTAGCTTACTTTTGACAAAGTACCAATTATTTGTACCAATTATTGAACTTTGTTGTTATTATTGTCCTTACTTCTCATAACTTATTAAGAAAAGTTCACAATGACTGTACAGGAGCAGCCATATTAATTTTAAAATAAGTACATCAGATTGCAGAAGTTATGTGTTATGTGCTTATCATGTGATAAGTGCCATATTCAGACAATGAAACACCGACAACAGACAGCAGAATGGAGTTATTATGTATCATTGCATAATGAAACATTAAATATTTGTCCAGTCAAAAACATCAACTAATTTCCTCATGGGGACCAAAAAAGTGTGTTATGTAAGTTATGTAAGTTAAGTTTATGTATCATTGCATAATGAAACATGAAATATTTGTCCAGTCAAAAACATCAACTAATTTCCTCATGGGGACCAAAAAAGTGTCCCCACAAGGTGAAAATTTACTGGTATTACTATACTTGTAGAGACATTTGGTCCTCATATAGGGAATATCAAGCACACACACACATACAGTTTCTATTCCTCTATTTGAGGCCAACAAAATTAGGATTCCTCTCAAGGCAGAATTTCAGAGGAAATACAATGGACATTTTGCATGTAGCAAATAAATGTAAATATTATAACGTGTAAATGTACACAATATCAATAGGAGGAGTGAATCATCTGACCTAAACTATAATAAATATACATACCTGTTAATGATGTTTACTATAATCCAATGTCTCCAATGAGTTATCAATCAGAGGTGTTGTCCTACAGCAAGTTAATCGTAACTCATTAATAAGCAGACTGGTTTGAGCTGAGAAACTAACACTTGTACGTGTACATGCGTCTCTGTGTCACTCGGAGTGTTTTAAACAGATGGTAGATGATGAACAGTAATAAGACCCTCTCTCTCTGTGTCCATTTGACAGACATGAACATATGCATTCAGTTCTAGTCACTCACAGATTCACTGCAGGCCTGTCAGTTTTCACCCTAGGTGTAACAAAGATCATAACAACAGAAAATGTTTCCTTTTTCAAGGTGCAACTGAAAACTGTTCCTAGTAAATGCTCACAAACTCCATTACCAACATGCTGTTTAACAATATGGTATTTTTTAAAACCTTTGGTATTTTTGGTATTTCTTCCTACTTACATTCACAGAGTTGTGTGGTTGAAAGTACAGCTTTACAGTGATATATGTTTACTAGAATTCGCTCTTTCGGCAGAAAAAAAAAGATTTAGTTTAGCCTTTATAGTCTTTAGTTTAGCCCTTATATTCAGTGACTTACTCAGGTTAAACTTTTCTTTTTTGGAACAAAAAATGTGTAACGTTTTAATGGATACAATCAATTGAAGCATCAAGTCACTTTCAAAAGGTGATTTACTCTATTTTGAGTACCATATCCAAACTATAAACTTTTATCTTACTACTTCTGTGATTATTTGAATGTTTGTAACACAGATATAGTGATGATGTGTGGCTGAAGAGACTGTTTGTGAAGCAGTTCCATACCTACAGAATATATTAAAGGGGTCATATGATGCGATTTCAATTTTTCCTTTCTCTTTGGAGTGTTACAAGCTCTTGGTGCCTAAAGGAGATCTGTAAAGTTGCAAAGACTAAAGTCTCAAATCCAAAGAGATATTCTTTATAAAAGTTAAGAGTCAACCACGCCTACCTAAAACGGCTCGTTCTAACACACCCCACATACCTACGTCACTATCTGGGAAGATTTGCATAACGCCGCCCAAATGTTCACGCAAAGAAGGCGGGGCCTAGAGGAGAAACAATAATGTACAGTATGTGGAAAATAATGTGTTTTTTGAACCTTAAACCGCATAAACACATTTCATTACACCAAATACACAAAATAATGTTCTTTTTAGCAGCATCATATGACCCCTTTAACTGCTCTCTCTGGGTCAGCAGCAGAGCGAATGCAGATTTGTTACAGTAAGGAGCTGTGGCTGAAATCGCTCACTCATTCACTAATCCCTATATTGTGTATGGCAGTTGATTGCACTATATCAGAAAGTAGTGAACGAAATAAAGTGAACGAATTCGGACACTGATGTATACACTGCGCGTCAGAGTGGAAACATCTTCATCATATATGTACACATATATGTACATTTATATTATTTTAGAATATAATATTAATAACAATAACACTCATAATGGTTTTATATTGTAAATTATATATAACTCTGTGCCAGCTTTTTGGTTTCAAGGATGGTATTATTAGGCCTAACTTGTTTTGTAATGCTTATGTTCATAATTAAATACTATTAAAATACTGGCAACAAAAATAAACACATATTACACATACAACACATACATTTTATGTATATATTATTTTTAGTGTCTTAAACTCTCCCGAGCAGCATTTTGCGCTCAGATAAGATGACAGTGGTCGTAAAGTGCCCTCAGGCGACCGTTAGTTTTACATTAGAATGAATACTCTACATACAGGTGATTAACAAATACTTTTTAAAATCATCCACCAAATTATCATCACATCTCCATCATCTCTTGTAGGTTAACAACAACAACAGTAAATTAGTAAAACATTAAACTGAGTTAATGCCTAAATAATATTTTTTATTTTAATAATGCATGAAATAACCGTTAAAGCAGAAATAAGTCAAGTCAAGTCAAGTCACCTTTATTTATATAGTTAACAATACAGATTGTGTCAAAGCAACTGAACGGCATTAATTAGGAAAATAGTGTGTTGCGTCAATAATGCAAAAAAAAAAATTAGACGACAAAGAATTAACTTGACGGAGCTCAAACTCAAAACACATGGCAGCAACAAACAGATGTAACAGATGTAAAATAAGAAATATGTAAACTGCATCTCTCAACTTGCTCGCTCCCGCTCTCTCTTCCAGCTCGCCTGTCCTCTCCGCATTGGACTATGGGAAATAGTGCTTCAGCGAGTGTACATCGGTTGTACACTTGAAATCAGAGAGGATTGTGGTAGTGAACGAATGTTGGGAATTAACTCGTTCACTCAGAATTTGGACAGCACTACAAAATGGCCGACACCCGATATAGTGCACTATATAGGGGATAGGGAGCAGTTTCAGACACAGCTTTTAAGTTGGCTTGAAAAAGCCTAGCCAGAAAGTTTGAAGTAAAAACCAACTAAAACCAGATAAAACTAGCTAAAACCAGCTATTTTAACAAAAAAAAAAGCCAGCTAAAACCAATTCATTTAGAAAAAGACAGCTAAAGCCAGTTGATTTAACAATAAATGGCTATAACCGACAGAAACAGTCATGGCCTAATAATTGGAGAGTCGGACTTGTAACCCAAAGGTCGCGGGTTCGAGTCTCGGTACCGGCAGTGATTGTAGGTGAGGGGAGTGAATGAGTGAATAGTGATTTTTATTTTTTTTTGGTGTTTACCATTTTACCATTACCGTAGTTTTTTATTTTATTTTTTTGGTGATTAACATTTGTGTAACTACACAAATAACATGGTTAAACTATGGTTAGTGTAACTTGTGATTACCATGGTTTAACTATGTAGTAACAGAGTTCGTAGATCAGGAAGGAGGCGGGAACCAGCGAACATAAAACTTTAATAAACAAATGAACGAACACAAAAAGAAAGTAAAAGAGGCAGCAACTCACAGACGACTGCCGCATAAAACATAACATAAAATCCAGACCTGGTCCTCTCTCCTCCTTCACTGTCATTACTCCTCCGTGGGACTCCAGACCGGTGAGTGGCGCAGGTGTCGCTCATTATCATTTACTCCACCGGCCTCGGAAGCTGTAAAAGTAAGTTAGCCAGCTTACATAACATTTCACAGTTACAGTAATTATGTATTTCGTCAGCTTATTTAGGATAATAATATCGAACAAAGCTAAGGAATTATATGATCAGGATGTTAAAACAAAAATCGCACCTTTCAGAATAGACACTGAAGCGTGTCCCAGCCAGGTTAGTCACTTGTTGCGGTTCCCTTATACATTTCTGATGTGGTCCGTGCGTATTTGCAGCGCGTTTCTGTATTTAATTATGATGTGAGTCTTTGCAGCACGTTTAATATTTGCAGCGCATTTCTGTATTTGGTTGTATTTTGAGTATTTGCAGCGCATGTGTTGTCAAACTAATGAAGATGTTTTCTTAAAGGGGTCATATGATGCGATTTCAATTTTTCCTTTCTCTTTTGAGTGTTACAAGCTCTTGGTGCACTGGTGTTTTTTCTATTTGCAGCGCGTTGAGCTCTCTCGGCCACTGTATCAAACAGGAGACATTCCCCTTGTCCAAATACCCAGAACATTCACTAACGTTCTTTAAAAGTTGTGTTAATGTTAGTACAAAACGTTATTAAAATAATGTTTTTGGAACGTTCTTAGAACGTTGTTAACGTTCTTGTAACACAGATAGAAAACATTCTTAGAACAATGTTCTTGGAACGTCTTTAGGATGTTATTTGAACTTGATTAATGTTATTGTAATGTTGAGTGAAAACGTTTTTAGAACAACATTCTTAGAACGTTCCTGTAATGTTATTAATATAATTGCTAAATGTAATTAATAATTAATTGTTAAATGTTTTCATAATGTTATCATAAAACATTCAGAGAACAGTATTCATGTCCTTATAATTGTAGGCTACTTGATGAATGTTGTCATAATATTGGGAGAATCATCTTTAGAAAAAAAAACATTCTATAGGCTATATAAAAAAATATGAATACAGAAATATGATAAATAAAATGTATTAAAATATGAAACTACAACCTCCAGTAGGTGGTGGCAAATCACCTGAATGAGTCACTGAATCTTTTATAACAACTAAACTGTAAGTCACTTAAGTGAATATCATAGCCTATATATATATTTATATATGTGTGTGTGTGTGTGTCTATCGCGTTTGTAATTGTGTATACTATACATTATAATTGTGTATACTATACAAGTTGGTAAAGGCTCTTCTGTCATTGTTCACTGTCCCTCTTGTCGAAGGATCGTTTAACATCATGGATGACATAATTGAGAAAGACGGGTTAGGCTGAACATTGAGACTTATGAAGGCTTAGCCATTATCAAGTCCCACATGAAGGTAATGGGTAAAACTGCCTCCAAAATGCTAATTACCCCTGCATTGAGGAGATTGTGCCAGTCTTCTTATGAGACATACCAAAATCATCTGAAGAAAAAGAAGGAGAACCTTGACAAGCAAAAGGAAAGGAAATTGAGGGAAGCTGTGAAGGTCCTCTCAGCAGTTAGGGTTAGAAAATTAAAGAAAGGTTCCAACTCTTCTGTTTGTGCTACAGTCTCCACCTCCTCAACCACCCCTGTAGTTAAAGGCACTGCTGCTGCTACAGCCTTCACCTCCTCCACCCATGGAGTTAAAGGCACTGCTGCTGCTACAGCCTCCACCCCTGGAGTTAAATGCAAAGCTGCTGCTGCAGCCTCCACCCCCCTCCACCTCTCCTGGAGCCACTCTTGCACATGTAGCTAGTCAAACTGAAACGGGTGTCAGGTGTAGCCAAGCTTTAGGAATATGGATTCACAGCCAAAAGGCAGAAAAAGTAAAAAGCACTCTAGAGACTTTTGCACAAGAATACACTTTTTGGTCTTTAATGGTGGTGCTGTTAATTTTTTTTCTTTTTTTTCTGTTAATTATTAAGAGTTTCACAAAACAATGTTTGGTCTTATAAGATAAATAAAAACATGCACTGAAAAGTTATGTAGATGGTTGATTATTTGTCAAGGTATGTATAATTTTTTTCATAGATTAAAAATAGCTTTTAAAATACGCAAACTGGCAATATTAAAGCGGTTTAAAAATTCTCCCCTTAAAACGCTATTGGTCTCGACT